GGCCGAAGGCCACCAATAGGTCTTCAATGCAGCGAGAAACTCCCGCACCCGGAGGCGTCCTTCAGCTGGCCCCTAAACAAATATGTATACTAGTTCAGTGATAATGGACGTCATACTAAACTCCAAATTATACACAGGAAACTAAAATTAAAAATGATACAAGACTAACAAAGGCCAGAGGCTCCTGACTTGGGACAGGCGCAAAAATGCGGCGGGGTTAAACATGTTTTTGAGATCTCAACCCTCCCCCTATACCTCTAGCCAATGTAGAAAAAACAAACGCACAACAGTAAGCACAGTAAAACTCAGTATAAGAGAAGTCCGAGTCCGATGTAAGAATAGGAAACAAAAGAAAATAAACAAAATGACAATAATACATAAATAACAACAGACTACTAGCAGTTACTGACATGCCAGCGCCAGACCTCAATTAAACTGATTGAAAGATTATGTCTTCATCATATGAATATCAGGCACAATCCCTCCTGTTAGGGGTTTAGTATTATACCGTCATAAAATATATGAGAAGAACATAACCCGTGTCATGCCAACAACTGGTTTTTAAACACATGTGTTTAATTCCGATGCAAAGACCCTATAAGTGAATCAATATTAAAGCCAAAATATGCAATCTTTAATGACCTGACAACAGTATCGTAACTATATCCCTTCTTAATAAGTCTGTTTAAAGGTTTTTTTTTTTTTTTAGCTTAAAACATATACATAATCATCAAAATTAAAATATACATATAATCATCAAAATTAAAATGCTATTGTATTTTTATAAGACCTACTTTATTACATGATCTGGGACTAATGACATCTATCTATAAGTCCTAGCATACATTAATTATTATAATATGAATATGTTTCTTGTTTAATAACCACATATGATGCTCTGCATGAGTCACCATTTATCAGGACATGAATTGGGTTTACATAGAGAGGATAAGGGACGACATCAGAAAACCAATGAAGGATAAAAAACTTAATTCAAATAGTTTTTGGGGGGGGGGGGTCAAAATTGCTGCAAGTTTTGTTTAATTAACATCGATTTTATATATATCCTTATTGGTCAATCAATTTTTCCCAAATTAAGTTAAGGGGGGGGGGGGGGGGGGGGGGATAGGGGGTCATTGAAAAAAAACTATATGAATTAAGTTTTTTTTATCCTACATTGAACTTTTGATGTCGTCCCTAATGTGCAAAAAAATAGATAAGGGGCGGGACCAAACCTATAGATAACATAATAAAGAAATGATGAAATATACAGAATACGTTGATTGACTTTTGGTTGCCTTATGTCCAGTGGCAAATATGTCACGCATGTTTAGGACAAATATAATAGAGATCAAAGGATAAAGAATAGAGTGAAATGGTAAAAACTAAAAGATATAGAATTATAGAAACGATCTTCGATCTGAAACCCCTACCCTCACACACCATAATCATTACCATTACTGCCAATACTCGCATATTTACATCTTTATACAAATATCTAAATTTGAACCTACCCCCCCCCCCCCCCCTCTAGACACCGAGGTTTTGGATCAGCCCCTATTAAATGTGTCTAATTATATACATATAAACTTGTATACCCCCCTTCCAAATGCAGTATTGAAAAGTAAATCATTTAAAAGTCCTAAAGATAAAATATGTTTTGAAATATGCCCTGCATACTTATTTATGCAAAGACATATAGTAATTATTGAACTACTGTGGGGCTTGAAAAAAAAAATCTATTTAAGGGATTCGGAGACGCGAACAGTAAAAAAAAGCTCAGGCCACACCAATTTGATTTGTAGTTCTTCGGACAAAAGCTCCAAAAAATATGGGGCGAGCGAGCGAAATTTTTTTGATTGTATTTTTTTCTTGAAAATGAGATTTTATGAGGCGGGTGCTCTACAAGTGAAGCGAGCGGTATATTTTTTTTTTAAATTGTGCGATTTAGAATTTATGTACATGCTAAAACTTGGTTACTTAATAGAAAAAGGAGAAGAAACATGCTCTCATGTATATAATTTGATGAATTGGCGCATGAACCATACCAACTTTCTTGTCTCGCTGTGGTTTAGTTAACTTCGATTATTTTCGTCAAATAAGCTTTGTCTGGGTGAATTTGCATTAAAATTCATGCATGTGTATATATTAAGGAAGCATAGCAGATGCAGTTTAACAAGAGGAATTATATTAGGTAAATGACATATGTTGAATAAATTTAAATATGTGTATGTATTTAAAAAATGCCCCTGGAAAATATTAAATATTTTTTGATATAATTGTGTTTATTATATTAATATATGGTAATGATTGTTTATTAGCTGCTTGATGTCCACTTGGAACTATTTATCCATACTTACTAATGATCAACATAATGAGTGAGGTGAATATTTCAACAACATCATGAGTAAGATAGTTATATTGTTATGCATGTAGATCTCAATGTATTAAAATATTCCCTTAAAATACGTATACCTGTCACCACATTCACATGCATTATTCTGACAGCAAAATACTCTTTCCTTTTGCTCTTAAAAGCTGTAATGCGTTTTAAACTCTTAGCTTGACTAGAAGTGGTTGAACTAATTACACATCCCTAATTATTATGAGCATGTCAATCACAATACCACCTCTTTGGTCTCGAAAGTTGGAACTGTAAAATTTTCCCTTACAAAAGAGTTCTGCTTGCATGCCAATAGACTAACAAGGGCGTATTGTCATGGGGTTTCATCAAAATAAGATAAATCTGTGATTTTTCTAAGATTCATGGAAATTTAATATTTAATTTCATCCAAGATAGATAGGTCTATAAAATAACAAACATTGTAGATAAATTTGTACATAACAGCAGCCGGTGTTTCAAAAATCCACGTAGCAAATCTGAACAATATAGACCCTCAACATAAACAGTCTTTCTTTGTAAGAACAATGTTTTATTGGAATAGACTACCAAATAATCTCGTGTGTGCCAAGACAATTGAGAGCTGTAAAACTTCGGTTGCTCTCACATCGTTGGACTAATTTTCCATCGCCTCTCTTCTGTTGCCATTGATTCCATATCCTGGTCTTGCATCGTAATTATTCAGATTCAGGTCTATGTCTGTTGAAACAATGATTAGGTGATGACGATGGTTCTAACGAACATTGATATAATCGTGGTCATCTAAAGACAGATTTTTAATATTTGTCTCCTAGAACAGGTCTTCATAGATAAAACGAGATGCATTTCGGATAACTGTGTGTTCAGTAACTACTTCTCAACGGCAATGAGCTGACACAATCTTTTGCCCGATTTTGACCTTTTATTTGCAATTCGATTCATCACACGTGCGTTTAAATCAATCGGAGCAATATATGCACAAGAAAAACGTTTATGCGAAAAAAAAATTTCAAAGAGAAACTAAATTTGGAGCGTCATGCGGCCCAAAAATTTGCGGAAGCGGTAATTATTTTTTTTTATTGAAAAGTCAATTTCTCCAAAACAGGAGCGGGAAAATCCAAAGAACTATTAATCAAATTGGTGTGGCCTCAGCAACGAATCCTAAATGTAAAATGATTTGCAGCACAAGACATGAGAGCACATATTATAGATAGTATTAAATATGAAGTTCACGCCTCATATAGTGAAGTCCTATGTCATAGGACTGTTGTTGTAACATGGGTTAGTAACTGGTTCCAATTTATCCTGAATTGTCTTTATTAAAGAATTAGTTCCGGAGTATAACAGCTTATGTCTCTACTTGTGGGTTTTTTGTTCTACTGTCGTAATTAGGTGATTTTTTTTCTACACGTAGTAAAAAAGAGGGGGCTTAGTCCAAATAATTGTAACGTCCTGGATGCTTTTTATTCTTTTTTCATGTGTGCCTTCCTGCAACGTCTCTGAGGATCAAGAAAAGTAAAAAATGATATAGCACTAAAGAACGTCATGATTACATGTATCTGGACTTAGAAGGGGGAGGGGCTAGCTATGTATTTTTTTTTATTTCAATGTGTAGACTGTAGGAGAGTTTCTTCAGAAAAGGTTTTCATTGGAGGTGTTTTTGCCATGCACGCAGGCATCTGTTTCTATCCATGCACAAAGTTATGTGTCAAATTAATTATAATTACTTGTCACTCGCATTTTTTGCTCGTCCTGGCCATTATTGGCATTAACAGCCAGTGCACGAACTCGCACGAACGCTAAATTTAGTTAGAGGGGCGATATTCTGGCGCGTTTTTTAATTCTTGGTCACTCAAGTTTAGAAAGAAAGGGGAGAAATCCAAACAATTACCGACCAATCACAAACGTTGTTGCAAATTTGACCTTATGACGTCAAAGAATTTCCCATAATGCAATTATTGCATATAAATAAAAAACTACTATACCAATTGAATGAAAAATATTGCATTCAAATGACATTTTATACCAATTGAATAAAAAATATTGCATTTGAACGAAAATTATACCATTTGAATGAAAAATTATACCATTTGAATGAAAAATTATACCATCTGAATAAAAAATATTGCATTTAAATGAAAAGATATACCATTCAAACAAAAAATATTGCATTTAAATGAAGAAATATACTAATTAAATAAAAAATATTGCATTTAAATGAAAAATATCAAATTTTTGCAACCAATAACATGCCATATATAACAACAAATTTGATTATCAAAATTTTCAATATGTGAGTAACCAGTTTTTTATTTTTTTTTTGTTAGTGTGTGATATAAACCGGAAACAGCAGTTGATAACGAAAGTGATATCACACGGCTAATACAATTCTTCAGATTTTATGATAATTGACAGTTTTATCAAGGGTACAATTATACCATTATGTTCTATAAGTATAATATGATAATAATAATGAATATATGAGAAAATATAGAATTATAAAGTAAGAAGAAGAAAGATTTATTAAGTACCGACACATATATATATACATCAAACAATATGATATTATCAGGTATTTTGATTTTTAGACCTCAATAAAGTGCAAGACATTTCGCCTTTCATGACACCAAGAAACTGGACAAAATACAATCAAGAGAGAAGTTTAGAAGCTTGGCTTTCAAATATTGATCATGGGCTGAACAAAATAGAAATCAAAGAAGTATCAAAGAGAGAAAATGACGCAATAGTGAAATTGATTAGTCGCACATGGAAATCAAATTTGGCTGGCCAAGGTCTTGACGCTCAACAAAGGGGATATTCACAAATGAGAGTAGTTAAGGTCGAAAGAATAGAAAATCCATCTCTTTTCCTGAAATATGCCCAGAATAGACAAGATTTTCTTCGTCGTCTTGAAATTACAAATCGACTATTTGAATTTCCTAGAGTGACAAAAATTGGACCAATCAAAACAACGGTAAACATGAACAAGAATGTATTTACAGATATACATTCTGAAATAAATGAGCATTACTTGTTCCATGGTACTTCAGAAGCTACGGTCAGAGCCATTGCAAATGATGGTCTAGATGTCCGTTTAGCAGGCGATGGTATGTTCGGACGAGGAATTTATGCGGCAGAGTGTCCAACGAAGAGTGACCATTATACAGGTGATATCTTATCTATGCTACATACATATTTGATTGAATTTCATTTATATTACTAGCATAAATGTTCTTAATTCGGTTTATCAATATTCGAGTCACCAGAAGTTTTTTTTCTGCAGATATTAGTTCTTTCATGGAGTCAAATAATCTTTTTATGAATTTTGATAAAAAAAGAAATTACACTGAACAGGTTTATTTGCATGAATTGGATTATATATAAGATATATATCACCAGAAGTTATCCTATTTATATCTTATATATAATCCAATTCATGCAAATAATCCTGTTCAGTGTAATTTTTCATGACATGAGACAACCGTCACCGAGCTTCCTGACTTGGAACAAGCATATGTAATTTATGGGGGTGTGGGGTAGGGGGAGTTATTGGTTGTTGGGATATCAACCCCTCTTTTTAATATCAATAAACTTCATGATCTGAGCGGTTATTGAAATAAAAAACGATAACATTTCCATTCCAAATTAAATGATATAAGAGTTTTGAACGGATTTACTGATTGTATTAAATCTTTTCAGGTAAAGGTTTTAATAACCTTAAAATGATTGTAGAACGCATGCTTCTTGGTGAAATTTATGTTACCGATGCAGCGTACGCATTCCGAAGACCACCTTGCAAACAATGTATACCTGGTAATCTTGATCTGTGTAACAATTCAACTCATAAAAACAACAGGTTTGACTCGGTCATGTCGGCTATTCATGGAAAGCATAGAGAATTTATAACTTATGATCAAAACAGATGTTCAAGTTATCCAGAATATATAATAACTTATAAAAGAGTTTGATAACACGAATATCTTATTATCTTAACATCATTATGTTTTTGTTGTTACAGTAAAGTGAAATAATTTGTACAGCACTGAATTATACAGTAAAGCGTACGCATATATGCATATTAAAAGTTAAGCCAAATTAACTTTGAGAATTTGTCAATTTTTCGAGAAGGTCTTTTAATACATTGTGGCATTTACATAGACACCAGTCTACTGAGACTTATTTTGTACATTTATTGACTATTTGTAACTGTACTTGTATTCATTGAAAGGTTTTATGAACTCTTTCATTTTTAATATATTCAAAACTATTTCAGTTCCGATTAATCTACAAGTTACTAAAAGGTCGATAGTGAAATAGTTTTGATAATATTAATACCGAAACAGTAATTGAAACGTTAATACTGAAACTACAAATTAAGTTATTGTACAATGACTTTTGAAGTGTTATTATCAAAAGTACTGAAGTAACATATATTATTACATTACATTTCTATTATGACAGTACAGTAAAATATCCAATAGAGCTCAGAAATGTATAAGCAACTGCATATATCAGATACGTGTCACTCACTATATATATTATTCATTGGTGTTCCACTGTATGTAGATTTCGATAGCTTAATAAATATTTGATTGGTTAAGACTATCCCATGTGACATTGAACAACATTTCCTATTCCCATTGAACATTTATAATCCCCTCTGAGCATCATATTCTCCTCCAAACATCGGTTCTTGCGGTCATAAAAATTTGGAGTAGAATATGACCTCTTCTACACACTCAAAATCTCATTTATTTCATCATATCTCGATAAAATTTATCGTAAATCACGTGCTAGTCATTAATCCGGGGTACATTGCAACTTGGTTACCACGATTTTCATGCGTTTTTTTTTATTCAATTGCACATATGCGCATTTATTAGTTAAATCCAAGGTTAAAGAAAATGGGTGGGTTTTCAAATAATTTTTTTTATGGACCGATACAAATTCAACTTCTAGATAAAAAGAAAATTATCATGGAAAGAACGTTAAGATTTGCACCAATCATCTTATCTACAAAACGTACTATATTCTTTGTCAACCAACTTTTTTTGTGAAAACCGTAGATACTGGCTCTTTCAAGTCCGTATTTCTGTTAATTTTATCATATTGTCTCCCTTCAAAAAGGCAGACATACTGTTTTAGTATTATTTGTTCCGTTTGGTTATTCTTGTCTTTATACAGCTATTTTCGTTCGACAAACATATCAACCCAAACTCCTCTGAATACAATACTGTAATCTGATTGTGGAATATTCGTAAAGAGGGAGATATCATTCATAGAGAAAAGTACTGGGTCGGCATTTAGAGGATTTAAACCCTGCATTTGACTTAAGTAATCAGTAGTGACATAGATATAAGATGGTAAAGAATTGACGAAGGTGAACACCAACAAATTCAGACATTTTTCAAGTTTTACCGATATGTTGATGAGTCAGTGCAGCCATGCCACGAACGTCTCAATCAGCATAGGAGCGATATATCTAAGAATAAAATTGAGAATGGAAACGGGTAATGTGTCAAAGAGACAACAACCCGACCAAAGAGCAGATACAGCTCAAGGCTACCAATGGGTCTTCAACACCGCGCAAAAATGTATATTAAGTCAGAGAAAATGGACGTCATACTAAACTCCGAAACATATAAATGAACCAAAATTAAAAAAAAAACATACAAGACTAACAAAGGCCAGAGGTTCCTGACTTGGGACAGGCGCAAAAATGCTGCGGGGTTGAACACTTCATACTGATGGACCACACTTGCTTTAATCGCATTAAAGTTCTAGTGATTGAACAGAACATTCGGCTCTGGAAAAACGTTTGTGCAATATCGTCAATTCTAGACGATCCGGTACCTATCATGATGGCTGGTTGCTTGTTTTCTATCAACTCTTTAGTAATATAAACATATTTTAGACCCTATACATACACATATGTATCATATATATGTATATATTCTTAAATGATATGTCCTTTCCAGTACACAAAATGTTTTGTTCCCGGAAGTCATGGCCAATCCTGCACATTTATATATAAATGTTGGCCTTTCCTTCACCGGGAGTGATTTCTATAAACGAAGAAGAGACAGTATGACTGTGTTAGTCCATTAGAAAAAATATTCCTAGTTTTTCAACCTATGAAAAATTTTGTCGATTCACTGCATGAATTAATTGAGACTTGGTCAACAGTATTCATTTTTAGCCTGAAAATTACATTTTATCATGAAGATAAATGTATCAAAAATAAACGCTTAAAATAAAAACTGATCAAATAAATTAAATTTATCAACATATCAATAATGTCATCAATCCCTAATCTCAAACACTGATAATGCTGACATCATACAGAAATAATGGGTAGGAGCTCGGGTGGGTTTTATTCTCCGTTCGTTTTGTTTTTGTTTTGCTTTCTGCTTACCAAACATGGTAGCTTATCGGTAGAAGAGAGTAGTACATCACTAAACGAAGAGAATGGTTTAACATTAAACTGGACACTGGCTACAGTAAGTATGATGATAATATTGTCCTTGATGAACTTGTCAAATGAGGGTATTTACCTGTATTTCTGTTCAAATCACTACACAAGTACTTTTATTACCGTTTCAGTTATTTGAAGGTACATAACGTAAGATTGGTTGCAAAAATTAAAATAGAATGCAACATTTTTAATGTGATTGTAATGGTGATTATTTTATTCAAATACATTATTTTTATGCCCCGCGACAAATTGTCAGGGGCATATCAATTTACCCCTGTCCGTCCGTCCGTCTGTCCGGTCGTTCGTCTGTCCTTTCGTTCGTTCGACCGTCCGTTCTTCCGTCCGGATATAGATGTATAATTTGTCCTACTATCTCCTCCTACAGTTTTTAGAGCTACAGCTTTAATATTTTGTAGTTTGTTTGTACAAATAAAAGAGGTGTGCATGTCCTAAGGATTTTTATTTTTTTCAAATATTCTCAAAATGCCAGGCATTTGGACCTTTAATGTCCCTAATGCAATAAATAAGATTTTTTAGTATTGTCAAATTAATATTTAATCAATACCGGGAAGTTGAACTTGGTGACCACTGGAAAAAGAAAGTTGGACCTGGTGATTACTAAAACTGGAAAGTTGAAACCTTTTGGCTGAACATTCAGTCCTGCAAGTGTAGACATTCAGAACAAAATAAAAGATAGATCATAATACTTAGTGTTAGATTTATAATTTCTTTTGGTGAGACGGGGGCATCATTTTTGTCTTACATACAGAGCAACAATTTCAAGTTGTACTTCAACATCACTGTTTGTCAAATCTAAAGTATGTGGAACTACATGTATACTCAATAACTCATGCATTTGGCAGAGCAGAGGGGTGGGGGCATCGTCCATATCTAGTTTTCTAGAACCCGTGACGTCAAACTTAATATTCCCAGCCCAGAATGCAATTAACAAATATAAATACAAAAAAATAATAAAAATTTGCATTTATATGAAATATTACTGAAGTTAAATGAGGAATATATAAGTTGAACAAAAAAGTATTGCTTTTTAAAATAAAATTATACCAAACAAATAAACATATTATTGCAATTAAATAAATTAAAACTAAGACAAGATAAATAATACATATTGCATTTGAATGAAAATTATACCAACTAAGTGAAAAATAGTTGATGTAAATGAAAAAAAAACCTGTTACATGTAAATATTTAAAACAAAAATTGCACTTGAAAAATATTGAATAGATATAGGAAGAATGTTGCAATTAATATCATTCTATATCAGTTTTCAGTTACTTATTTAGAAGAATAATGTCAAGAAGTTATCAAAACAAAATAAAATAATTTTTCCAGCAAATCGAACGAACTAAAGTTATGGAACAGCATATGAAAAAAATACTTAAATCTGACAACCAACGTCCCGTAACTCTGGAACGACAAACCAGAAAATTAAAAAAAAAATCCGAACTAAAATGTAAAGTTTTGAGGATAGCAATCCAGGGAGTAAGTGCGCGACATGTGAAAATGCATTATGTAAAGATTAACATATAGCTGTACAATAGAACCTATGAGAATGCAACCCGAGTATAAATCTCACTAACCGAAAATTATACCATAGCTATCTATTGTATAATTTTCACAATTATACCATGGTGTTGTTGTATATGGTCTTCGAAAAGAAAAAGAAAGATAGAAGGCCAGCTGGCCGCCTAATTTTTTTGACATTGGAACAACAGAATCAGTGCGGGGCCACTAAGCTAAACTGCCCGCTTTGCACTAGCCGATATAAATGAATGCCTAGGGTGGAAATTGAACCCACGTACACCAACTCTGTTGTCCTATATTTTCAAATGAACAAAATTTCGCTCCTAGAACAAACAACCAAACAAATAAAGTTTAAAACAACATATAAAGGCGTAAAGATTTATTTATATATATACAAGTATATATTCTATACTGAAAAATATAAGTTGATTTTCAGTTACTGAGATGTATACTTGGATTATATTACATAGGCTCCACTGTACAGCTACATGATTAGGTTTAATTTGTCGAGGCGGATTTTTTTTTGGGGGGGGGGGGGGGAGGGGCACGCCCCTTTTGAGGAGCTTCATATATGGTAAATGCATTGACTTTTTCATTGTAGTACTCCAAGGCAAATGTTGGTTTGCTAGATCCCCCTTTCAAAATTATGGATCCGCACCCGATGTGTTATGACTGCTGACATCTGGACTTTAACGAGGTTACTTAAGTAATAACAATAATGTTGGACCATTAAAATTAGATAGCGTTTGGTTACTCTAAATGAAGCTTAATTTTTTGTTTAAATTATCTAGTCAACATGTGAATTTAGTCGTGAACATTTTGAAATCCCTTTTAAATAATGTACGACTTTGTCTTCTGGTACAAATTAAAATGTGGAATGATTCATCCAAACTCTCAGAAAGATTCTTGTGAAATTAATTTCCTCAGAATTATAAATTAATAATAAAAAATGTAAACATTTTGATTAAAGAAAAAAAACACTAACTCTTCGCAGTTCAACTTTTAATCTTTCAAAATATCAGAAATCTGAAGTCTCTTGCGTCTACATCCAGAACATCTAATTCCTTCAAAATGTTTTCGTCTGTAACGTTATCCGTCACCAATGTAAATGTGCATCCATCGCTGCTGTCGAAAATTTTTGTCTAACTAAATTTCCCGCTGTTTCAGAAGCCCGTGCTTATTTTAGAAAGTAGGCGGAGCTTTATGTGTAAGGCCCGAAAGTAAATAAAACAAAAATATATGAAATATACAATTTTGAACAGCAAAAGATGCGATAGGTTAAAACAGATATTCCATATTTTTTGGATAATTTTTCAGTGTATCTTAAATTATACCATAGTTTTTTGTTGAACCCCTCGGCAACCTCACTCGACTTCGTCTCGTGAGGTTATTGTCGGGGGTTTCAACAAAAGCTATGGTATAATTTACGAAACACCACAAAACTATCCAAAAGATATGAAATATCTATAACTTAAAGTCCTGTAACTCTGAAACGCCAAAGCCAAAAATTTTCAAAATCTAAGGAGAGCTTTTTTTCCGTCAATCCTAATGTTGTGTGAAAATTACATGATAAAATTGAGAATGGAAATGGGGAATGCGTCAAAGAGACAACAAACCGAACAAAGAGAAGAAAACAGCCCAAGGCCACCAATGGTCTTCAACACAGCGAGAGAATCCCGCACCCGGAGGCGGGCTTCAGTTCAGCTAATGGACGTCACACTTAACTCCGAAACATATAAATGAACCAAAATTTAAAAAAACATACAAGACTAACAAAGGTCAGAGGTTCCTGACATGGGACAGGCGCAAACATGCGGCGGGGTTAAACATGTTTTGTGAGATCTCAACCCTCTATCTATACCTCTAGCCAATGCGGAATAAACAAACACACAGCAATACGCACAGTAAAATTCAGTTCAAAAGAAGTTCGAGTCCGATGTCAGGATAGGTAACAGAAGAATCTAAGCAAAATGATAATAATCAACATATTTTTTTTTTTTTTTTTTTTTTTTTTTTTGGCATTGCACTAGTTATGTCTTCTTTGACTGTCCATGACGTTAAAATACTAAATCCCTGGGATGTGTTTTAGTTGATTTTAGTCTCTGATGCATGATTTTTTTATTATTAATTGTTTTAACTATCTGTCAGTAACTGCGAGTACTCTCAAATCGTACTTTCTTGTTTATTTGACCTGTTGATACTACTTGTATTGCTTTTTTGTTATTTAATGTTATTCAGGGTTATATCTGGTCTATATACCAGCTTTTATAAGTGTTTGGTATAACTATAAATTTTCACTTCGTACTATGAATCAAAATTATTTATTTTGTAATAATATTTCCTTTCTTTATTGGTACTGTACACGTATACCTGACAACAAAATTATTTTCATTTACCTGTGTTTAAAGTTATTGCAAATGGATGGTATTTTTGTTCGAGCATATTGTTTTTCTTTAATTGTTTAACATTTCTTACCGATATAACATGTTACTTTTATTATTCTTCCCTTAGTTTATTTATTTTGTATTCAAAATTATTTATTTTGTAAAAATATTTCCATTCTCTATTGGTGCTGTACAGGTATACCTAACAACAAAATTATTTTCAGTTACCTGTGTTTAAAGTTATTGCTAATGGATGGTATTTTTGTTCGAGCATATTGTTTTTCTTTAATTGTTTAACATTTCTTACCAATATAACATGTTACTTTTATTATTCTTCCCTTAGTTTATTTATTTTGTATTTACATTGTGTCATAGGTCAAATTTATTTGTTCAGTGTATGTTCAATGGTGTTAATATGTCCTTTGATTGAGTTAAGCTATTTCAGTTGATACTTTATAGTGTGTCTTTCTATGTTGTGATGTTACACTATTGTTTCAGAAAAAGGGTGAAGGTTTGGTACCATTAAAACGTTTAAACCCGCTGCATTTGTTTGCACCCGTCCTAAGTCAGGAATCTGATGTTCAGTAGTTGTCGTTTGTTGATGTGGTTCATAAGTGTTTCTCGTTTCTCGTTTTTTATATAGATTAGACAGTTGGTTTTCCCGTTTGAATGGTTTTACACTAGTAATTTTTTGGGGCCCTTTATAGCTTACTGTTCGGTGTGAGCCAAGGCTCCGTGTTGAAGACCGTACTGTGACCTATAATGGTTTACTTTTGTAAATTTTTACTTGGATGGAGAGTTGTCTCATTGGCACTCATACCACATCTTCTTATATCTATAAATTAATAAAGGACTACTAGCAGTTTCTGATCGGAACATGCCAGCTCCAGACCTCAATTAAACTGATTGAAAGATTATATCTTCATAATATGAAAATCAAGCACAATCCCTCCCGTTAGGGGTTTAGTATCATACCATCATAAGATATACGAACATAACCCGTATCATGCGGACATGAGAATAGGTTAAAACAAATTTCAGTTATCGTTCGAAGTATTGACAGTTTATAATAATACGTTCGCTAAAATAAATGTTGACACTTACCAACAATGTACAAACATAGAAAATAGAATTTCAAAGCTAGTGATAAAATCTGTTTATGTCTTTAAGGAGGAAAGATCACTGTAACCTTGTGTCAGTTTACCATAAATAGTCATCATAGATTCCAGGCTTACAACTAAGTACGTCAGACGCACATTTGTATACACAAGACTCATCAGAAGCGCTCGAATCAAAACAGTTTGACAGCCAAATCAAAGTTGATAGCATTGAAAACCAAAAGTTAAAAAAAAGTTGTGCTATGGCCATCTATGCGTACAGAAAAATCTTAGTATTTTGAATTATTTCAACATTTTTATGAACAATCATTTTAGATAAAATTACCGAATCAATGATACTTCAGGTCAGGACAGATGTGCTTACTTTTCGGCTGTAGATATCCAATCTTTTCCATTATACCAAAAACAGGGGGAAATATGATAGAAATTTAGAAAAGAAAAAAGAAAAAGCTGACACAATACAACAGTAAAAATGTATTTCTTATTTATTTTTTTTTCTCTATTAGAAAATATTGATACTTTAACTAAATGAAAGATACAAATATTTAATTTCAATGCTTTATAAATCTAATTCAACGAATACATGTTTGATAATTTCAGTCTGTAGCACCTCACTTTGGGTTTTCTCACGTTAAAGTGACCATAACAGAGATTAGTACAGGTATATCAATTTAAGAGTTAACTTACCGAACGTTTTGATGGTGTAAAATCTCATTTAAAAAAAAAATTAGTAAGCTATTGATTACTATCATTTTGAAGAAACAACCAAAGAAATGAAAACAAACACTCACACACAGACACAAACGAATTTGTTATGTAACTTCAAGGCGTATATGAAACAAGGTGGGTTAATTGACAACTGTGATATTAATATTACTTGTCGCAGGATTTCACGTTATTGTAAAATTATAAGCGTAAGAGATGTGAAATAATTGCCAACGACATAATTATCAATCAGAAATCAAAGGACGTGGAGGTTATCGAAAGGTCTTCAACAATGAACAAAACTCATACCATAAAATAATCTATAAAATACCCGGTATGAAACAACGTGAAACAATTCACACGAAAAAAAAATGCCAACACAATAAACATAGCCTAATAAAAAATGACAGACAGCAACAAACGGCTGTCACTGAACTACAGGCTTCTGACTTGCAACAAAGGGCAATCACTGCACTACAGGCTTCTGACTTGTGACGAACACATAAAGTATTAGTAGGGTAAACCTGCTTGTGAGCTCTCAAACTTCCCATAACTTGTAACAGTGGCGTAACAGTACAACATTAGAACAATATAAAATCAGTTGGAAAGGGTTTTCCTCATCAGATGGGCACGAAGCATACAAAACAAAACAAAAATTACAATAAGATCCAAACAAAAAGTACAGATGTAAGAGCACTTGCAGTTACTGAAAGCTAGTTCAATACCAATTACAACTTATAAGCTAATAATGTTTTCCAAGACTAAAATACCAATCAGTACATTCAATGAATTAAGTGTAAACACATCATAAATCTTTTGAGAAAATTATTAATTAACTTGTACAATGCCAAAATCAAGGCAGGATCTATGACCATAAGTGTTCATAACTGTAAAGCAATACATATTTAGTTCCATGTGTATTTTAATTCATTGAAAATGAAATCAATGTAAGCACCGATAAAGGCAATATTAATTTTTTTTATTACTACAGTGTTACATTTATTGATAAACTTTGAGGATTAGTTTACTTAACTGATCCATTATTTTACTTGGATCGTATCAAATGTTTAGGCTCTACAGATGACATTGAATGTAAGTCCAGTTTTAGTCAAATCTGAAATCAGAATAAGAAAAGCAAAACCATTTAAGACTGCTTTCCCCTTATACAGGCAATTCTTCAAAAGATTTGCTTTTTAAAAATAAATAGCATTGGTAATTTGTTTTTTTCATAGAAATGCCAGTACCTGGCGGAAAATTTAGTTATACGTTTACTGTGACCAATACTGGAAGTACAACAAGAAATATTACTGTAACCACCAAGGTTGACAATTATGTAAGAAATAATCTGGTTATCTTAATGAAGTACCATAATATTTAAGAATAAAAGCGTAACTGTGTCGGAAAACCTGTAAACTATTATATATAATATGGTTATTAGCTGGATCACACTTTTTAAATGATCTGACACTGTAGATTTTATGGATCATTTCAAAAATAAATAAAGATAATTTTATTCAATTCTTCGGCTACATCTCCTCGGTAGTCTCGTGGTAGCGTGTTTCTTGAGAGCGGGAGGTCGTAGGTTCGACGAGGTCAAATCAAACACTTGCAATTTGTATCTGCTGCTTCTCCACTAAGCATGCTGCATTTGGGAACAAAAGGAAATATCGGGCGGCACGGAATCAGGATTATGTGTCTGGGTCATCCTCATCCTCATCATCATTATCATCGTCATCGTCATCGTCATCATCATCATCATCATCATCATCATCATCATCATCATCATCATCATCATCATCATCATCATTATTCATCATCATCATCATCATCGTCATCGTCATTGTCGTTGTCGTCATCCTCCTCTTTATCATCATCATAATTGTCGTCTTCGTCTTCATCGTAATCTTCGTCGTCGTCATCATCATCATCATCATCGTCGTCGTCGACCATGGTTATTATCAAACTATTGAAAGATATACAATCATACGATTAAGGAATTAAACATAGATGAAAAAAGCCACCAATATACAAATAACGCAATATGATTGATAAAAATAAGGGGTTGGCAGTATAGCAATGTTAAATGGTAGTCTCTTGTTATTCTTTGTTGAAGTGCTTTAATACTTGTAATACTGTTAAAGTGCATACTTTTCTTTAGATGCTGAAAGCAGAGATTTTAAAACCGAGATTTTCACTCAATAAGAAACAATCACATACTGGAATAATTACAATTGCAGTAAACCGAAAGGCTAGACCAGGTTTAGAAAGGTAAATATTTTTCAAAGTAGCGTTGGGTAAGGTTTATAGAACTATGCGATAACCGCAAAGTAAACGTTAAAATTTTATCAAAAGGTCGATAAAAATGATAGGGGATTAAAAATTTGAATTGAATATGACTTTCTGCTATATTGTCGGACAAGTTAAAGAAATAAGCGTTGTTTCTAGTGGCATTAGTGCCTTTACTTATTCTTGGAATTAAAAAAAAAAAAACAACAGTTGCATGTTGGAACATGAATTGATTAAAAAAATAACCTTCTAACCTACAAATCTTAATTCAATGTGGTTTATCAATGGAAGCTTATAACATATCTAAGAAACAGCAAACGTAGTTTTATGATCTGTGTATTCTTGTTTTAAACAGAAAAGTATTTATAACAATAACAGACAACGAGGGACGAACAGAGCGTTATAAACGTTTTATTGTTGTACGAGAAGAACCTGTTACAAACGATGCCAATCCCCCAGAACTTATTTTCTTGGATTTTGTAACCTCATGTCAAAAGAATATAAAGAAGCACACTCGATGTGGGGTAAGAATTCACATAAAAATCTATAAATATTTTTTCTTTTTTTTTTATTAATTTTGTGCCTCCAAAGCGCTTTTTTATATTTACCTTCACCAAGAACGTTGAATATAAAAGAAGATCCAAGGATGTATAAATACTTGCGGAACTATATGATAAAAAAAGACATAACAAGAATGATCAAAACTACATTTCAACTAACTGTTCTCATATTTGATGAATCGAAATCTAAACACAAATAATCAAAGTTACTGAGAACTACACATGTTTCTTTACCAAAGTCGATTTGGTTAGATTGTGATCCAAATATGAAAGCAAAATAAATATAAATAAATATATAAATGTCTTTTTATGACGTCATTGTGGCGAGGTTACTCAATGTTTTTTTTTTTAAATATTACGGTTATTGGGAAAAATTTGATATGAAGAACAGTTTTAACCGAAAACACCAACGTCTATGTATAACATATCTCATAAATAAAATAAAAAATGTTGCTGATGTCTAAATATGATCAATATGAAGATCTGAAATCGAGGCATTTTGATATAAGGTTTTGCGTATGTATCTCTAAATTATGTAAAGCTTGAAGCATATTAAAGTTGTGGTACAAGACTATATTTAGTTTTACAATTATTAAAACATTAGCGATATATTTTCAATGACTAGGAGTTGGGTGTTACTTGCAAACACTAGTAAACCAATTTGAAACGGCCATTTTGACCTGAACTGCTCTTAAAAGACTGAACAATAAATAATTAAGTCATTTTCAGTCTTTAAGTCCATTTTCAGACTTATCAACTGCGGTAAATTCTGTACTGTTCAAACAATCCTATCCCAGTCGAAGTCTACGTTCAGACTATTCTTTCGTTGCTTGTTTACAAATAAACATCATACTTAATTGTCTGAAAAGCTAATGAACAGCACTTAATTGACTGTAAACGAATTGTCTGAACAGTATATTAATAGAATTAACCACAGAAAAAGATTGACAATTGACTGAAAGACTGAACATGATTGCATAATTCATTGTTCAGACTTTTCAGATGATGTTAAGATCAAAATGACCGTTTCAGACAAAAGTTCATTTAACAGTGAGATCTTTGATTATTTCTGTTAAATTTATTATCCAGTTTTAAGACGCTGGATGATTTATAGCTTGTGACATTGTAAAACTCCTATTTATTGTTGAAGACCCCACACCTTACTTCGTTCATTCATAATGTTTCTGAAATCACAACATCATATACAATTACAGGCAAGGTTCAATCGCAAATACTAAAACTAAGTACATTCGTCAATCATGATTGAACGAACACTCAATTTGTCACTTTTTAGACATTAGAATTCTTGGGAAGATTATTTCCTTTGTATTGTTTTTGTTTCGTGTGTTTGCTGTCACCCTTTTATTCATCACTGTGTAGCATCACCACCGAATATAGGTACCCCCGAAGCGGTTGAAAAAAACAAATGTGGACTCAGGTAAGGTCAAATTCTTCTTATTTTCATTATATTCTACATTTTGCTGACAGGCTAAATGTATATATTATTCTAAATAAAAGGATGTTCTTGTCCCAGGCAGAAAACCGTGGCCGTGTTAGGCGCAACTTTTTGGAAGTTTTGGTCCTCGGTGCTCTTCAGCTTTGTACTTATTTTGGCTTTCAAACTTTTTTCATCTGAGCGTCACAGGTCATTCTTGTGTGGACGAGACGCACGTATGGCGTATTAAATTCTAAACCTAGTACCTTTTGTTAGCTATTATTCGTGTGTTTCTTTGTCCTATATGTTCTCCCATTTATTTGTATTGTAGTCATGTCATGTAATGTTGTCATTTTAATGTTATATTTAACATTGCCATAAAAGCGGGAGGTTTGGCATGCCACAAAACCAGGTTCAACCCACCATTTTTTTCTTAAAATGTCCTGTACCAAGTCAGGAAAATGGCCATTGTTATATTATAGTTCGTTTCTGAGTGTGTTACATTTTAATGTTGTGATTTTGTTGTGTCGTTGTTCTCTTATATTTGATGCGTTTCCCTCAGTTTTAGTTTGTAATCCGGATTTGTTTTTATCTCTATCGATTTTTGAGTTTCGAACAGCGGTATAGTACTGTTGCCTTTATTTATACTGATTCCTAATAATGAAGCTACTATTTAGGGCTGATTATGATCCTTAATTGGTTTTCTCTCTAAATAGGATCGGATGGTACCTGTTCAAAGAAGCATGTGACGAGTTAAAACTTGTTAAAAAACATTTATCCTTCAATAATCATTTGACTTTTTCGTAGAACAAAGTTATATCATATTTAAGCTTAAACAACACTGTATTTCGAACTAAACTATTGTTTTCAGAGAAATTCATGCAGGCAAAAAAGGCAGATAAACTGTACGGCAAATAGTTTTTTTTACTGTACGAGGAATGAAATAGATATTTTTCTATCATGATTGTTTCTTTGCTTCGGGGGTACCTATATCCGGTGGTAATGCTACATAGTGTTCATATAAAGGTTTCAACTTTGCACACATCTACATCTTGATGCTTTTTGATTTAGTTAAACTAATTGATTTGAAGAAATGAGACGCATGTCCATGAAAGATAAAACTAAGTTTCTAGGTACACCAGCACCTTTGTGTGCAGTTCAATACATCATAAGTAATTGCCGTCGAATGCTTCGTTAGTTATTCTTATATATTTTGAAGGCAGGCAATTGGACAGTATTGTTTAGTGCACAAGACAGAGAATCTGGTCTAAGCATTATAGATGTAGATGACCATACCATATCCACTGTATGGACAGAAGATTATTCACAAGGTCAAGTCATCAGACCAATCACCGGTAAAATCAGGTAAGTTTCAAACTTGATCAACAGAAACTATTTTTTCAAGAAAATGGAGTTAGAGTATGCCCTTGTCAACTAAGTATTATGGTACTCTCGCTCGTTTAAGTGGAACAATCATATTTCACAGTAAAGTTTAATTTGAAAATGACAATTAATACCTTTCCTACCCTCAATCTCAATTTGATAATATTTCTTTCATATGTTTTATGAGCTTTCTAACAGCTACTAACTATTAAAGTTTATAATGAAAAATACACTTTGGTATTTTCGTGCGTCCAAAATTCTTGTCTGGATTTACACTCAATAAAAAAATAAAAACCAAGGATGTATAAGATTATAAACACGTGAAGAAATAAATTGTGTATTTGACCAAAAGTGACCTAAAATAACTATATTCATCTACGGCAAGTCGTCTGAAGAGGAGCACAGTTGGTTTCCATTAGAATGCCGATTGCTAAAACACGTCGTCCAAACGGAAAATATATATTGTCAAACAAGAAATCAAGGATTTTGATAATGTCAGTTTAAAGAATTTTTGTTTGAATCAGAGTGATTTTTTACGAAATACGATTTTGTTTTACCTAGATATTTGTATCTATGTTGGCAATTCTTTTATGGAACAAAACTAAAACAATTCTTTCGATTTGTCTGTTAGTTTGGAATGGGGAATATGCGTGTAAAGGATAGATAAGTCAAACGTTTAAATACTATTACGAGAGGAAAGAAACTTAGATTCTATGTACAGTTCGTTGGATTAGTTTAGTATCCATATAAATCCCAACGTTGCTCCTAGAGTAGGAAGTTACACAATAACTTTGAAGCTCGGCTTTGATTGCTGATACAATTGATGTTAAAAACTTAAAAAGGTTGTGTGGCGCACTTGAAAGAGCCAGCAACATAACGTTGTTTGTTAGGACACTTATGTAATTTAGGAATCAAATAGTGAAAGAAGATCCAGTTATGGCTGTGAGGTCGTTTATACAAATCAGAATGAAGAAATTGATATCCATGCTACATCGATCTTTAAAGACCCAAATGTTGCTAAACACTTGTCCTACCTCCATGACAAATATGTTGGTGTCCCCGCAAATAAGCCTCAAACAACATCGTTTTTGTGTGTAAATCACATTACATAAACTGCTTGCTAAATGAAATAGGAATTGACAGTTCACTTGGAAACTCAACATATAACCCCACGACACTTACCAAAGAGGAAATCCTGGACAATCATAGGTCTGTTCTATGTTCCTTTGGAATTTAAATCAAAAATGAAGAACTGGTCTTTAGTTTTCTATGTTGTGTTTTGTGTACTATTGTTTGTCTGTTGGTCCTTTTCTTTTTCTTTTTTAGCCATGGCGTTGTCAGTTTATTTTCGAATTATGAGTTTGGATGTCCCTTTGGTATCTTTCGCCCTTCTTTTTCTTCCTCTTTTGTTGACATTCCAAAGGGATGTAGGATAGTTTATTCAGGATTTACTCCATGGTAAGTGTCGTGGTAGTATATTTTGAGTTTCCAAGTGAATTGTTATTACCTAATTACTTTATTAACCAGTTTATGTAATGCGATGTACACACAAAAAAAATTATGTTGTTTGGTCTTATCAACAGGAACAACAACATATTTGTCATTGAGGTAGGACAGGTGCTTAGCAACATTAAGAGTATTTAAAGATCGATGTAACATGTGGATTCATAGACCCATTTTGTTTCTTAATTCTAATTTGAATCAACAACCGCATAGCCTTAACTCATTATCACAGAGTGTCTACGTCTTCTTTTTCACGTTTAGCCAATTGCATGGCATCATCCTCGAATGAATCCATCAGTATTTTGAAGTAATGTTTCCAATTGATGGATTTAAACACACGATATTTCGGCCTTTGGATAACACATTTCGCAAAAAATTGTTATAGCCAATGTTCAGAACATCAGTAATAATATGGCCTGCCGGATTATTCTGCAACACGTATTTATAACTGAAAATGTTAGTCGCAATTGGTTTGGTATGGTATAAAAAATGAAAGGAACAAAGTAATCTCTAAAGTAGGGAGGCATTTTCTACTGAACAGATTTATGGGGAAGGATATTGCCCAAGTTGATGGCATCAAGACTTTTGCTGGCAAAGGAAAGTTTTAGAAAAGGATATTTTCTCCGTTTCATCTTTTTCCCAATACCGTTAACGGCCTTATATTTAAGATGAAGCTTGAGTAATTGAAAATATTTCGACAGGACACAGATATTTTTATCATAAGAGTAATAGGTTTTTGTAACTCGTAACAGTTGTATATTGCTTTTTTGGATTTACTTTCACGAGCATCGCTCAAACCCAGTGTTTTAGCTGTATCCATTCAAACTGTTGATGAATTATTTTTTTTTTCAGTACTGACTGTTGTTGCAAAAGGACAGTTATCATTGTCAAAGACAACAATGGAAACACCATTAGGATACCTATTTATTTTCCAGATGTACGTAAACCCATATGAGTAATTACTTGCACTTTAAAAAGCTAATTAGTTTTAATATGATTTATTATGAAGTCGTGTTCAGTTTTGTCGAATTCGAAGATAGTGACTATAAACCCGAAAATTGATCTGTTATCTTACAACCGAAAATAACAGGAATGTCTAAAAAAAAAATTGAAATAGCATTAACAAGATGAATATGGTTCCGTTATTTTTTTTCAATATAACCTGTTTGTTCCTATATCAATCTCTAGAAGTCCTTTTAAATTTGTTGTGTTGTACGTTTGCTATTTCATTAACATAAAACATTCGTTTGTTACGTAGTCTACTTTTGGAACACTGCATTCCTTCAACCTGAAACGTTACTCTGACAGAGTTATATTTAAATAAAATATTGAAGATTTGCCTGCGCCAAGTAGAGCATTGACGACTGCAAAATGTAGAGAAGGCTTTAGTAGCGACCATAAACGACGAAGATAACACTTTATAAAGTTAGTGCGTCCACAGAACTGCTAACTGGAGTTGTCTTCATCGGGAACGCTTAAAGCTGAAAAATTTGAATGAAAAAGATGTATGATATTAGAATATTCGGGAAGCTATATGAACAAAAGGATCTGTAAAAGAAAAGATAGACCAACTTATGTCATACCTGTCTAAGGTAGTGGAAAAATTTACCGACAGAGACTTTAAGAAAGGTCTGGCATACACCATTCAAATCCTCCATATGTAGAAGGCTGTAACGCTATAAATAATTTGCTATTATTCATATTCCACTGCAGAAGAAACAGTTTGTTTTAAAATGGAATAAAAATTCAATGAAGTTTTGTTCCTGATTTTACATAAGATTCGCAAAGCAATTGTGTATGTCAATTACTGACAAACCATTGTGTAATCGTAACAATGTGATACCTTGAAAAATATTTGTTTCCTTGAGAACGACACAATTAAACATTATTTGAGATTGCATGTTCTACCTTTTAATGCAGGGTCGTAAACTAATGTGAAGTAGTGACAAATGATATATTAAGATAGAATAAAATGCACCATGTCTCAACAGTAAAGACATATGATCTATTAAGTAAGGCTAAAAAGCTCCATGTCTCAGCAATAAAGACATATGATCTTTTTAGACATGCTAAAGAGCTCTATGCCTCATAAGTAAGACATTTGATCTATTAAGACAGGCAAAAAAAGCTCCATGTCTCAACAGTAAAGACGTTTGATCTATTTAGACAGGCTAAAAAGCTCCGTGTCTCAACAGTTATGACATATGATATATTAAGACAGGCTAAATAGGCTCCATGTCTCAACAGTAAAGACATTTGATCTATCAAGACAGGCTACACAGCTCCGTGTGTCAACAGTTATGATATATGATCTATTAAGGCAGGCTAAAAAGCTCCATCTCTCAACAGTAATGACTGCAGATGTTTCATAATGCGCTTTTGGGAATTTTCCGTCGATGATATTGGAATATAAAACTTAATACTTTATTGATTTTGATTAAACCTACCTTATCAAAGTATAGAACAAAATTAAAAATACTCAAATTAACACTCTACCACATCTGTTTCATCATATTTGACCTTCGATTCACAAAACATCTCATGACAAAAACTACTCGTATGATTTGGAGACAATAAGTATACTCAACTCCTGCATTACAGAGAGAGACATCAATTGTAAAAATGCGCATCTGAATCATTACAATTGGTACCATGTGTTATCACTACCACAGCGTCGATATCTCTAGTGGAAGACTGATAGTCCCCGAGGGTTTGCGCCAGCACAGTAGCTCATTAGTTGAATGCTGACATGAAAATAAGGTTTTATCTGTTTATTGAAAACTTTGAAAATAAATTTAAATTAAAGAATGAATCCCTCTCATGCATTGCTGTGATTCTTTGTCTTTGTCCTTGTCAGTTTTGGTCATGTCTGCTTGTTAACGTTTCTATTAGATTTTGTATTTTAAAATATCTTTGCTTTGAGCATCACTGATAAGGTGCAATTAAATTGGTACCATTTCAATTTTAAATGGTATAACGATTAATTATATCCGAAAGATTTTTTGTAAAACGGCAGGCCAGGTTAGTAGCTTTGGTGTTTAAATAAGTAAATGTGTGTGGTATCGTTTTGTAGTTTCAACAATTTTGGACAGTTGTTTGTCCTTATATTTGTTGTTTTCTTCAAGGGCTATTCAAATGGTAAAGGTTAATACAGTTAGGTGGTGTTATTGTTATCAATTTCAATATATCATTAATTATTTATTTATTATTTTAGTACCGTCCCACAAGCGTTCCAAAAGCACAGGGTCACCGACCAAAGTCTATCAAAATGACTGCAGTTGTAGTTAGCGGTTTTGGAATTTGTTTATTGCTCGTTATTGTTGGTACAGTAACAGCACAGAATTGGAAAAAAATCGCATGTAAACGCAGAAAGAAAAAAGCCGGGCGAATTATCCATATGGAAGCTACTCCAAAAGTTAGTCTAATTATATGAGATCTTCATTAACAACTGTAAATAACTCTGTAATGGAATTTTGTAAAGCTGATTTGATTTTTACCACTATGTATATATGTTTCTGAAATCAGTTTTAATAACAATAAAACAGAATTAAGTCTGGCATCGTAGTTGACAAGTTTTAACCATATGCAGGACATATGATAAACATATGATCAAGTATGATAGATATATGAACATTTGTACTTTGAACATAATGTTTTAATATTTTTTGTCGAATATTTTACATAAAGGTAATCATTCATGTATAGGTAAAATTTTCAATGTCAATAAAAAAAAAATACTGTTTTCAATTGCAGAATACTCTTCTAAAAGACTAATTACTTTCTAACATGAACATGGTGTAGAACTCCACATACGGGTTGTTGACTATACATGATACGGGTTGTTGGCTATGCATGATGCAGGCTGACGGCTTTGAAAAAAATAACCCAATCGAGTTAAACAAAAGAGTAGAATTCCTTTTTTGAGAACCGTCAGTACAACATCGTATATTGTATCGAAGGGACCGATCAATCATCAATTTTCGGCAATCAAAAGTATATGTAAAAAGCTTCTCTTCAGTTTTGTATTGTTATTTTTTCTTCTTTTTTCGTTTTCTTTGCAAGTTTCTTGATAAAAACTTATTTTCAAGGACCCAATTTTGTAGATATATTTTTAAAGAAATAAATTTATGTTAAAGTATGGGATTTCATGTTTTTCACGGGTGGAATATTTCGTTTCTGGTGGAGATAAGGAATTTATAAGAAAAAGATAGTTTTGCCTGCAATTCAGTCTTGCACTCTGTTCTTCGTGAAATTTGAGATATTTGGCTGTTCTCAATACTTTTCTGAATCAATAGTATTGGTCTTATACATTTACATGATAAACAAAAGAAGACATCATAGTATGCACCTTTTGGTTGCAAGAAAGCTATATGTATAACTACGCTAACTAACAGAAATATATATACAGTCGATATTTTCTAACGAAATGTTTATCTTCAATCGGGTAACGATGCACTTGTGCAGCAATGTGTAACTCGATAGTTAATTTCTTTTATCAGAAAAACTCAATGACTAAATTTCTTTAGGTATGTTTATACTTTTCCATTGTCCGGCTTTTGCCATGAAACTTTCTACGCATTTTTCTCAGGATCTACAATTCAGAGCTTTCTGTAATTTGGTGATGGGCTTCATGAATGTGAGTATGCTATATCGTGAGAGGCATTTCACAGAACACTTATATATCCCGACACTCTACACTTGTGATATAACTGTGTAAGTATAAATTAATTTTTTCTCGGGGATGGTCCTATATAGAACGAAACTACTACAAGATAAGACAATGACCATGTGTGAAATTTTCGTCGTATTTTCCCACAGGAACTTCAAAAAAGAGTCTTTTGAAATTTGGAACCAAGTGTGAGACGTTTTCATAGCCATCGGTCATTATCTGCCTGTTTTTCAAATACTTACAAGGGGTATCTTTAGTCAGTATTAGCTCACAGTTCTTATTGTTTAATATTGTAAACGAGATGTTTTATTCATATTGCTATGAGTTTTGTCCATGTTGGACAGATTTTAAAGTAGACATGCAAGCATAACTGTCTTATTGTTCTAATAAATCAAATGTATCAACCCCATGAGATATGTTTCATTCCGAGGCAAAGGAAACTTTAAAACAATGAAGTTTTTACTGGGAAACTGACAATAAATAATCATACACAAACATGAATTCATTTGCGGGATTTTCTGGCTGTGTTGAAGACCCATTGGTGACCTTCGGCTGTTATTTGCTCTTTGGTCGGGTTGTTGTCTCTTTGACACATTCCTCATTTCCATTCTCAATTTTATTTGTATAAAATTATACGGAATCGGGTCCCTGAAAATTAATTTTTATCCAGAAACTGTCATAAAGTGGCCATAACAAGTGATGAGTGTTTAAGAAACGGAACGCTTGGGATGTCTGCTTTGAATTACAGATTTTGATAATTAGCCACTTTAATTGCAACAAAGCACTTGATAAACTAACAATTCTAAAAAGTAAAATAGACCACATGTATTTACATTGATCGATTTTTCTTTGCATCGAAGCCGCCAACCCGTTTCATAAATAGCAAACTACAAGAAAGGCGAAGGATACCTAAGGGTCATTCAAACTCATAAGTCGAAAATAAACTGACAAAGCCATGGCTAAAAAAAGAAAGAGACAACTGACAAACGACAGTACACAAAACACAACATAGAAACCAAACACTGAGCAAAACGAACTCCACCAAAAACTGGGGGTGATCTCAGAGGCTCCAGAAGAATAAGCAGATCCTGCTCCACATGAGGCACCCGTCGTGTTGCTCATGTTAGTATAAACCCGGTGATAAGTCTAATTCGGTAGGTCACATTCGGGGAAAAAGGGACGGGATTGAAGTTACGACAATTGGAACATATCCGTTGTCATTTGTGAAACGGATATTTCTTAACGGTTAACCAACTCGTGATGAGCAACAACCCTCGATCAAGGAAATCATGATAGGAAATACAAGCCCTGGAATATCGTATCAACTGGGAAATATATACTCCGTACGCAGGCTTTGCTGAAATGTTGCTACATAAAAATGGAAAGTTCACAATTGGGAAGCTGAAATTATCTCTCTTGTCGAAAAGTTTTGTTTTAAACCTACCATCATTGTCAATTTCTAGATTTAAGTCGAGATATGAGGCAGACTTAACTGTATCTGTTGTATCCTTTATCTAACGTTCGATATGATAGATGTGTTCAACATAGTCACCTAATTTTGAATTATTTGTCTTTCTAAATTTGCCCGTTTATAAATTTTGAAAGTATCAGGCAAAGTTGGTCTTAAAAGGATTTGGCTATTATTTTAGGTCATTTTTTATTATATAGCTTTTCAAATGTTTATTATACATCTTCGGCTTTCAAATATTCGGCTTTGAGCGTTCCTGATGAAAGTAAATATAAAAAAGCGCTTCGGACGCGTTAAATTTATAACGTGTTGTTTTCATTTTTTTTTAGTGAGAGAAAATCATCTATACAGAGGAAAGTGATATAAATGGATACTGCTTACATCTTTTCTTCCTTCCTAATAAGTTCTTATATGAGGTCAGCCTCATATGAATAAAGAAACAAGTCGGCAAGAAGAGGGGCACAGTTTGTTCCCATAGGAATGCCAATTATTTGTTGAAAAACACCTTCTCCAAACGTAACAAATATGTTCTCAAGCAAAAAATCAAGCATCTTGATAATGCCAGTTTCACAGAATTTTTTGTTTGAATAAGAGTGACTTTTTACAAAGTACGATTTATTCCTCCCTAAAACAAGAAACTTGTATCTACGTAAGCCGTTCTTTTTTTTATGAAACAAGGCATGACCAACTCTTTCAATTTGTCTGTTAGTTTGGAATGGGGAACATTTGTGTAAAGTGTAGAAAAGTCAAATGTTAAATACTATTACAAGATGAGAGAGTCTTAGATTGTATTTGCTCTTAAAGATCTTTGGATTTTTTTAGTATCCACATCTGATTCACGCTACCTCTAGAATAGGTAGTTTCGCAATAACTTTTAATCCCGGCTTTGATTGCTGATAAAATTGATGTTAATAATTTTTTAAAAGGTTTCGTGGAACACTTGGAAGACCCAGCAATATAACGTTGTTTTTAAGGACACTTATGTAGATTATGTATCCAATACAATGAAGGAAGATCCAGTTCTTCATTCCAAAGGAACATAGAACAGACCTATGATTATCCAGGATTACCTCCTTGGTCAGTGTCATGGGGGTATACGTTGAATGTCCAAGTGAATTGTCAATACCTAATTCATTTATCAAGCAGTTTATGTAACATATTTATCATGGAGGTAGGACAAGTGTTTTGCAACATTTGGGTCTTTAAAGATTAATGTAGCATAGGTATTAATAGACCCATTCAGTTTTTAATTCTGATTTGTATCAAAAACTATATCCTTTATCAATTCAAAAAGAGTATCTAAGTCTTCTTTCTCCTGTTTAACCCATTGCCTGGCATAATCCTCGACTGAATCCATCAGTATTTTGAAGTTGGGAATCCAATTGATGGATTAAGGCTCACGATATTTCGTCCTTTGGATAACACATTTCGAAGAGATGTGTTATTGACAATGTTGAGGTCACCAGTAATAACGTGGCCAGCCGGAATATAAACATATGAATGGGGAACTAGCACAGGAGGAATCAGGAGGTTTAGGCTTGAAGTCATCAATATTGAGATCCTGCAATACGTGTTTGTAATTGAAAATTTTAGTTGCAATTGGTTTGGTATATGTATAAGAAATGATAAGTACAGAATTATCTTTAAAATATGGAGGTATTTTTGATTGAACTGATTTATGATGAAGGATATTACCCAAGTTGATGGCATCGAGACCTTTGTTGGCGAAGGAAAGTTTTAGAACAGATCTTTTCTCCTTTTCATTTTTTCAACTGCGAACTAGTTTGAAAAGTCTGTGACTTGCAATATCCGAGATGATAGCTGTAAGTTTGTATTGGTTTGAAATGGGGTTTGTAACAGTGGTTTCCAAACATAAGTTGTACAGCGAAGTTTTGAAAGGGGTAATGAATAAAGCTTTGTGCGAATGGATAAATACTAGTAACGGCTTTTGTATAAATAGCAGCAGGTCATTGATAGAGACACCATGGACAGTAGATGATGTATAATAACGATAACCGTGGCTGTGTCTACGTCAAGGAATAGAGTTGAAAATGTTCATCACATTCACCGAGCTACAGGAAGGACTAGATAGAATACCTATACTATCAATTTTGTCATTGCAACCATATGGTGTCGCAGTTCCCAATTGTCGAATCCAGTAGTCCTCTTTTTGTCTACGGAGAGGTATTGCAAGATAAGGATTGTTAGCCCTGTGGTATATTTTTTCGATGATGCGAACTTGCGTAGAAAGGATTGAATGATCAGGCTGACTGAAATGCTGGTAAACAATGTCGTTTGCATTGTTGTTGATGTCTGATCAAGCATCACCCGTAAAATTTACGCGTATAAAAAGGAGGTCATCACTATCGTTCTGTAAATTGTGAATTTTTCATTCAGTTTTAAAATAAGTAACATCTTTT